GTGAGGCTACTTTGTACTATTCCGTTCTTTGTAGAGATTATTACATCCTTGACTTAATTCATTTCCAATATAAATTAGTAGTGTTGCCTCTTCCCAGGCAACAAGAATTGGGCAGACATGAACTCAAGTTTCCCATCCAAGCATGTCTGCTGTTTCTGTCATGCATTTAAAAGGTTTTCTTTGTCTTTGATAGAGTGCACACAGCAGCCTGCGAGAAATGCAGCCACAGAGGGGCATTCTCCACAGTCTGTCCTGGGCACCCCATGCTCCAGCCCGGCCCATCAGGTCTTGGCCTTGTGCATGCTTGCCCCGCGTGTTTCAGACAGACCGAGCCAGGAATTTAAGCCATGGTTGCCTGTGGGACCTGGCCTCTTGAGCTACCCTTACTGCTGAAGCACGACGCTGCCCCGTCAGGCGTTTTACTCCCCAGATGTTTTAAACCCTCGAAAGTTGCTGTCATTGTTTTACACTGAGAGCTCATTCAAGGCCGACTTTTCAGCTTCTGCACTGTTTGGGAGTTGGATCATTCTGTTTTAAGGGGAGCCGGCCTCCCATCTCTGGCTTCCATCCACATATAGATGCCACTAGTACCTTCCCCCAGTTGTGGCAACCAGAAATGTTTCCACACATCACCAAAAGCAGCTGCCACCCCCAAACACACGCAGTTGAGAGCCGCTTTCTGGTATTAACCTCAGCTTTTAGCCTTCTCACTTGTTCTCCTTTTCTTTGGTATTTCCAGTCTCCTGTCAGGATTATTTTCTGTCCAGTGAAAGAACTCCTTTTAGTAATTCTTTTTGTGCAGGTCTTTTGATCAAATTAACCGAAACGATTTTATATTTCCTTCATTCTGGAAGGATTAATTCGTTGGAAGTAGAATTCTGGGTTTGACGAGTGCTTTCTTTCAGCGTTTGGAAGACACCATTCTTACATGTTCTTATTTCCACTGCTTTTATTGAGAAGTCATCTCTCAGTCTAGTTATTTCTCCTTTAAAGGTAACTTTGGGGGCCTGCAGGGGATGTGAAGATTAGGGAGTTGGATCCCACATGGCTGACTCCATGGTTCAAGTCCCAGACCTGGTGACTTGAAGATCACACCAGACATGTGTACATGCACGCCCAAAGTCCCAAGAAGAGACAAGAGAAGAGACCGTCCCCTGGGAAATGATTCCTCACTTTCCCTCTATCTGGAACGTATGTGCACCCTATCACCAAACTTTAAATTAAAAAAAAAAAAAAGTAACTTTGGGCTCAGCCTTGGCAGTGCAAGTGGGAGAGTGCTGCTGTTCAGTGGCCAAGTTCCCATCCCACCCCAAATAGGCACCTGTAGTCCCAGCTGTCTGGAACACTGAGGCAGGAAGTGTCATGACATGGTACGACCTGTCAAAGATACCTGCCTATCTTCCTCCCTCCCTCTGTACTTCCCCCTCTCTCTCATGCTCTTTCTCTCCCTCCGTCAAAAATAATGATAATAATAATAACTTTCTTTCTTTTGTGGCTGCCTTTTTCTGAGAGATTTTTGCTATAGGGTGCCTGTGCTCAGCAGAGAAACAGTGAGAGACAAAGAGACAGAAAGTGAGAAATAACCTCCAGGGGAATGGCCACACCACAGTCCCTTCTCCTCCCTTCTTTTGTGATTTGGGGCATGCACACACACATGCTTGGTGTGAGTTTTAAGTCACCACATCTAGGACTTGAACTGTAGTCAGCCATGTAGGAGTCCAGTGCCTCAGCCACCACACCACCTGCTAGCCCCTTCTGGTGTTTTCAGCCACTTCGTTCTGGCGTCTGTGGTTATGATTTTCTTGTCTTGATCCTTTTTGGAATTCAAAGCATTTCTTGAGTTATGGCCTGATGCTGTTCATCAGATTGGGAAACTTCTCAGTCAGTATCTTTGAACAGTGCCTTCCTCTGTCTCTCTCCTCTTCCTTTTCCCTTCTCATCGGTTCTTTCTTGTCACTCTCCCTCCTGTGTATTTTTCATCCTACTGTCACTCCGTGATGTAGCCTGGTTATTCTCCTGGCTGATTTTCCAGTTCATTAACCCTCTCTTTAACTGTTGCCTTATCTGCCTTCAGTCCGTCTGTTGACTTCCTCATTTCTTTGATTGTATGTTTTAATTTTCAAGTTTTAGTGAGTTCTTTTTTATTGTTTCCAGTTCTCTGCTTGAATTTTTAATCTAGCATTTTACTTTTTTGAACAAATGAATTATGTTTGTTTTAAAGTACATGTCTGGGGACCATCAGTTGGCATAATGGCTATGTCACCGGACTCCCATGCTCCCATGTAGATGATTGTGGTTTGATTCCTGGAACCAGTGGCTTAAACTCACGCCGGGCACATGTGCGTGCGTGCCCAAGATCCCGAGAGGAGAATGGAGGAGAAGGGATTGCGGCATGTCCATCCCCCCTAGGGGGTGATTTCTCACTTTCTGTCTCTCTTTCTCTCTCTATATTTCTGGCTAGCACATGCACCCTATAGCAAAAACCTCTCCAAAAATAAATAAATAAAGTAAAATAATAATAAAGTACATGTCTGAAGACTGGGTTTTTCTGGATGTTCTATATCATCTATTTCAATTATTATTTATTTGTATCATGTTGTTCTGTCTCTTTATGTATCTGAGGATCTCTGCATGCCAGATATTGTGAGAAAGTATGATCTACTTTGAGTCCTAGGATGATGCCTCTGCTCTCCAAAGAAGACAGCACCACTTCTCCTCGCCACCCCAGGCTTCTTGGGGACCCTCTTCCTCTATTTTTTCTGTCTCTAGCTTCCTCTGTGGTTTTGTTGTTTTTGAGATAGGTATATCGCATGTGTGTGTGCCAGAGAAACAGAGAGACAGAAAGTGAGAAATCACTCCCCGGGGGGTGACCACATCATAATCCCTTCTCCTCTCAGGATTTTAGGCACGCAGGCACACATGCCTGGCATGAATTTCAAGCCACCACGTCTGGTACTCGATTAGCAGTCAACCCTGTGGGAGTCCAGCACCTTAACCACTACGCCGCCTGCTGGTTCCCTCCGTAGTGGTTTTACAGCTCTGCTAAGTTTCTCGGTCACCTCTGCTGGAATCCGGAGATGCTTCCAGAAACAAAGCTGTTCTATACCTCTTCGGCTCTTAGTCCTATCCCACATATCAGCCCTGTTGTTTTTCTTATCTATTCAGTTATTCTTAGCACGTTAATTGGTTCGACTTGCCTAGTCTGCCAGGATCAGTAGCTTCCTCTAGTTTATTTTATTTCTTGCAGAAATATGTCCTCTTTCTCTCTGACAACATCATAGGTTGTAAAATTTTGTGATTCTTGTATGTAAAAATATACTGTTTAGTTGGAAATAGAATTATGCCTTAAATTAATTTTAATTATTTCCTCCAATACTTTACAGATATGGACCCGTTCTTTTCTTCTATTTAGTGATGCTGGTAAAACGATTGACTTGAATGTGGTCCTCATCCCTTTGTAGAAAATCTTGTTTATTTTTTTCCATAAACATTTTTCAAAATTTTAACATAGATTTTTTTTTATTATTGTTATGATTTGCTCTAAGGTGTGTGTGCTTGCTGGGGAGAGGGAGAGAGAGCAAAATCATATCCCGGGGAATGGCCATGCCACTATCCCTTCTCTTCCAGTCTCCTCTCAGGATTTTGGGCATACCCACACATGTGCCTGGCATGTTTTCAAGCTGCCAGATCTAGGACTTGAAACCACAGAGTTGGGCCACATGTAATCCAGCATCTTGACCACCACACCACCTGGCTGGCCCCAACATATTTTTAGTATTTAGAAGTTTTACTATAATCTGCATAGGTGTAAGTTCTTTTTATTTGTCCTTCTCAGGATCCTTTAAACTAATTTTTTCCCCATACATGTCGTCTTGATACAGTTCTTTCCAAAGCCTGTTCAAGACTACATTTTCGCTCTTTAAATCCACACTGTCTCCTCATTCCCCACCCTAAAGTTACTCACTTTTTTTTTGGAGAGGTTTTTGCTATAGGGCGTGTGCACTTGCCAGAAAGACAGAGAGAGACAGAGAGAAAGTGAGAAATCACCCCCCGGAGGGATGGCCAGGCCACAATCCCTTCTCCTCCATTCTCCTCTCGGGATCTTGGGCACACACGCATACGGGTCCGGCATGAGTTTAAGCCACCAGGTCCGGGACACGGTCGGCTACATGGGAGTTCAGCAACATAGCCATTATGCCAACTGCTGGTCCCAGTTACTCACTTTTACTTATCCAGAAATTTAAGTAGAAATGTACAAAAATGAATTTACAGAGCTCTCTTAATTTTGACAGAGTCACTATCTAATCTCATTGAAATGTTTATATAAATTTTGTGAAATAGCCTCTCAATACTGATTTTATATGCTTGGGCCTTTATGTTCAATGGCTTATAGAGATTCTCTTTGCATTTAATTTTTACTTTAATAAGCAACTTTATATGAATATGCTTCTAGAGTTAAAATTTTATGGCACTCTAATCACAGCATCATTTTTATCAAGCAAATTTTTTTCTTTCTAGCCCTTATTCTGTTTATCCCAACATTAAATATCATTTGTAAAACTTGATTAACTATTTTCTCCACTTAAATTTTCTCATCAGTTGTTTTAAGTAACCTTAAAGTATTAATTTGACATTTTAAATTTCTACACAAAGCCATCACTCAACAGATTTAAAAGGAAAGACATTTTAAGTTAATCACATATACTTTTAGGACTTAAAAATTGAGAAAGACATTCTCAAACCAATTTATACTTCTACTGAGCATATAATTTTATCTAAGCATATAAAAATACTTAATCCTAAATTCTAGAAAGTTTGAAATACTTGGGAAGTAACAATCCTGAAAAAACCAACAGACTAATGCATACTTTGAACTTTTTAAATCTGTTAATAAGAGAGCTAATTTTCGCAAGGGTTAAACATATTTGTAACATAAAATCCCCAAATATTAAAACCATTCCACATGCTTTAGTAGAAATTAAAATGTAAAACGTTTTTACCTGATAATCTAAACTAAGTAGGCTTTGCTTGGTGTCATTTACGTCTCCAGCTGAAAATGAAACAAAATCAGAGCTTTCTTTAAAACAAAGAACAGAAGGGAATGTTAAAATGTTAACTGACTTCTTAGACAAATCTAAAGTAACTGCTTCCCTTGGGGATAAATGTCTTAGAGTTCTTTGTGCAGAAAATCAGCCAAGAAAGTAACTAGGGAAAATGGTTACCAAGGGAATTTTTTTTCCTGTTTTTAATAACAGGAAAAATGGAAAACAGCAGGGATGGGGGATGGAACACTTCATTTGTAGGCAAAGTATGCAGACTTGAAATCACAAAAATGAGCTTGGTTAAGCAATCAACTCTTTTCATAGACTATTTGCATTAAAAAATCTTAAAGATTTTACTAGTTAGCAGGATATTTACTAGTCAGCTCGATCAGACCATAGGCATGATATTCTTGCTCAACTAAAGGCTGAGCATAACGTCTGGAGTCCCTTTTAAGCTGTAGCGATGCGATTTATCTCTCATCCCACCTACTCTGTCTCACAATTTGGTTAACAACAAACAGTGACATATTAAAGCCATTGGAAATTATGTAACTTCTAGACATGAAGTTGTTTTCTTTTTATTAAGAAAATGTGCAAAGAGCTGTGGGGCTCCTGATAACCAGTTTCTCTGGCAAGGTAGTTGTCTTTTTTGGCTTCAGTTCCTTCATCTGTAAATAACCAGGTTAGGGACGTGCCAGGGTTCCAAGCCCAGCACTGCTGGGCAGGGGGCGGAGACCTTGGTGTTAGCTGACATTCCTCACAAAGTTCATTCTTCTGTGACACTGGGGTAATAGCACCTAGCTTTCTAATTTTTATAAAAATAAAAGGAATAACATGTAAAGCACCTAACTCAGCATCTGTCATAGACTAGGTAGTTGAATTGTAACTATTTTTCTAAAAAGAGCTATTTTAAAACTTTTTTGTATTCTACTCAGTGGTCCAAATTATCTGACAGAGATGAGCTAAATTTTTGTTTTCCCAAAATCTAAAGATGATTTGGGTAGATTGAATCAAAATGATAGACTAAATATATGGGCCACCAACAATTCCTAAAAATAATGAAAACTGGAATCAGCAAGTGGCAGAATGGTTATGTTGCTAGACTCCCATGTTCAAATCCTAGACCTGGCAGCTTAAAACTCACTAGATGTGTGTGTGTGTGTGTGCATGCCCAAAATCCCAAAAGAAAATGAAGCAGAAAGGATTGCTGCATGGCCATCCCCCCTGGGGGGATGATTTCTTGCTTTCTGTCTCTCTGTCTCTATATCTCCAGCAACTTCTTGCATCCTATAGCAAAAATCTCTCTTAAAAAAATAAATGTAAAAATAAAGAAAATTTATTTATTCTTTTTTTTATTATTTTCTTTTTTCTTTTCTCTCTTTTTTTTTTTTTTTGGAGAGGTTTTCGCTATAGGGCGTGTGCGCTCGCCAGACAGAGAGAGACATAGAGACAGAAAGCGAGAAATCACCCCCCAGAGGGTATGGTCACGCCACAATCCCTTCTCCTCCATTCTCCTCTCAGGATCTTGGGCACGCACACACATGCACCCAGCGTAAGTTTTTAGCCGCAGGGTCCGGGACACGAACCGCGGTCAACTACATAGGAGTCCAGCGACATAGCCATTACGCTAACTGCTAGTTTCCTTTTTTTATTTTCTAGAGCATGTGCACTCACTGGAGAGAGACGGGGGCGGGAAGGCAGGGCATAGAGAGAGTAGGGAAATGAGAAATCAACCCCTCAGGGGAATGACCATGGCACAATCCCTTCTCCTCCATTCTCCTCTCAGGATTTTGGTCACACATACACACGTTCCCTGTGTATTTTTTTAAGCTGCTGGGTCCAAGAATCAAACTGCACTGTTGGCCATGTGGGATTCAGCCACCCTTAACCAACCATGCCATCTGACTGGCCTGAAAATTATTTATTTTTTAAAATATTAAATTGCATTGCAGAATAATAAACTGTACCCTTAGGAGACAAGTAATTTTGAAAACTTGTTTAAAGACTGAAGGCAGACAGATTTTATCTGAAGGAATATATCATATCCCAAGATACCCTACCCTTTTGAGAGAGGACAGTTCTGCAGGTGTTCCAGGTTCAGAAACGATAGATCCTAGAAGGTTGGTAGGGAAGCAATACTCAAGGGCATCAGGGAAGGTGAGCCCAGTCCTCCAATGTCTCGTGATTTATGAGCCACACTAGAACTCACACACTCATCCTCCTGGCATCCAGTGCCCAAAGTGAGGCATGGAGACTGGTGGGACCAGGAGCATCATGCTCAGAATACAGACCAGCTAATACAACCCAGGTTTACACCAGACTAGACAGTTCCACCCACATGCTCAGAGCTCTTGGTCATGAGGAGAAAGCTCAAGATAGCAAACATTTGGGAAATTGTGGCATTAGACATGGAAATTGTCCACCCCATCTCTAAACAACTACTGTGTACATCAGAAAAGAAAATAACTTTGGAGATTAAAAGGTCAGTAACACACATGAGAAACTCAGTAGTCATGTTAAGAGATAAAGCTACGGAAGCCTCCTGGAACAAGGCTGTAAGGAATAGTAGATGGAAAACAGAAAAGAGACCAAGGATCCAACTAGGTGAGTCTAGTGTCTCATTAGGAATTCTGGAAAGCCAAATGGAGAAAAAGCTGTGTACATCAACAAGGAACATCCAAGAAAATGTACCAGACATAAAAGCCAAGAATTTCCCATGAGAAAGGCCCTGAGTGTTCAGTAAAGTATAGGAAAAATTAGACCAATGTCCAAGTGTGTAATTTTGAAATTTAGAATATTAGGGGACAAAGAGAAGATCCTACATAATTGCAGAGACAGAAATAAATCACAGATCTCAGAATAGAGACTTTGGCCTGCTGAATAGCAACTCTGGAAACAATAAGGTCATGGATAGATACCTTTACAATCCTGAACAAAATTTATTTTTCTCAAGTCATTACAAGACAAAAAGAAAAAGATGAGTAGCTAAATACACAAATGGGAAAAAGCCATTAAACACGCAGTTCATAGAAAAGGAAATTCAGTGGTTGGTAAACAGAAGATAATTGTTTGCCAACCTCGGTTGTAGTCACAAGTATAAATTAAAACAGTAAGGTGGACCAGCTAGAGATATGGTGGATTAGGCAATTGAATCCCACACGGCCAACTGCTTGGTTTGAGTCCTGGCCCTGGTAGCTTGAGAAACACACCAGGCACATGTGCATATCCCCAAACCATGAGAATGGAGAAGGAAAAAGGATTGCAGCATGGACAGACCCCCTCAGCAGGTGCTTTCTCTCTCTCTCTCTCTTTCTGTCTCTCTCTCTCTCTCTAGCGAGCATATACTTTCTATAGCAAATTTTAAGAATTTGAAAAACACAGTAAGGTGATTTTTTTTTTTCACTATTAGAGTAGACTATTGATGACAAAACTTTAAGGGTGGAACTTGGACATCAGTATTTTTTTAAATTACCCAGATAATTCCAATGTTCAGTCAGGCTTAAAGATCACTGCTAATCAAAAATTATGGCTTGGCTCCCAGATGCTGTAGTGCCTGGTAGCTCCATTGCTTTATGGGCTGGAAGCTGCATGGAAGGGCTGGGTTTGATATCTGGGCCAGTGCCTGTACAGTTAGTTGCATGGGCGTGTGAGCCTAGTTATTTGGGAGGCTGGGGCAGGATTGCAACACAAGACCTTGTCAAAACAGCCCTATCTTTGATTCTTAATCTTTTTTTTTTCCCCTTCCTTCTCTCACTCTGCCTCGCCTATAAAGGGAAAAAAAAAAAAATCATGGCCCAATTTGAAATATATTGATTTTGGGGGGGGGGGGAATATAATGTTTTTTGAGTTTTTAAATTATTTTTAGATTACATTTAATCACATATATCTTGGAAAATCTGTTGCTGATGTGGTGTTGCCCAGTGTGTAGAGCAAACAGAAATTCATGTTCTTTTTTTTAAATTAGTCTTATTTAACTTTTATTTATTTGTTGTTTATTTTAATTTGACCAGAGAGGGATCACAGAGAGAGAGAGAGAAAGTGAGAAAAAACCACCAGGTCTAGGACTCAAACCGTAGTCAGCTATGTGGGAGTCGAGTGCCCTTAACCACTACGCCACCTCCCAGCTCCCGAAAAACTCATGTTCTTTGAGCACAGCTTAACAATGGCTGTCCTGTCTCTCCTCTAGAGATTTCACTTCTAGAGATTCATTCAAGTCTATGTATATTGTATGCCTCCAGGAAAGCACTTGAAGCATTGTAACCATGGATTAAAAATAAAAAGAATAAACCCAGTTGTGTGGTGACAGAGAACAATCGGCTACCATAAAGGTATTTAGAGAGATTGGAGTAATACTGGCATACAGAGTGGTCCACAGTATACCAAGAGGAGAATAGAAATTTTCAAAGCTACAGCTATATTATGATCTTATGTATGTACATCTTTGATGTATGTTAAGGTAACATCTTACTAGAGATCAAATTAGGAAGAATAGACAACAAACTGTTAATGGTAGTTATCTCCAGGCAATGAAATTATGAGGGGACTTTTACGGTGTAATCATGTTTTTATAATGTTTTGAGCTTTTTATAACTGTATCAGAAGAGAAAACTTTTAAAGAGAATATAAACAATCAAAAAAAGAAATAACCCTTAAAGTAATAGCAACTACCATGCTGAGATTGACAAAAGTTACAGAAAAACAAATTTTATCATTTCTGAGGTCCATGCTCTAAAATTTTGTGGTTTAATGGAATATTATATGAGCCCTTTTGCAGAAGCGATTTTAACCACACTGGTACATGGAAAATGCTGGTATTCTGTTTTCTCCTACCCTCTTTCTTATTGCAGACATAATTATGTATTGAAACTTAGTTCTGACTATGCTGAGCAGGAGTGTGGTATTAGTTGCCAAAAGGACATGAATAAAATGACATGACCTTTGCCATGGGGTTTCTGCCTGGGTACAGGACGTTTCCTTCAGATACCATTTACTTTAAATAAAGTCAGCTTTTCAGTATTTTTACCTTATAATATAGAGTACCAGTGAGCTGGCTTTTCTTTTAATGAAGGTTAAAGAATTATTTTAATTCTTTTTTTTTTATG